TCTGGGCTTCCCAAAATGGGTGGTGGAAAGATCGTGGAGGCAATGAGGAAAAAGGGGATATTTAGAAAAAAAAAATTGATAGGGTGTAGCAGGGTGACATTAGAACCTAGTAATAATTTTAACAACATCTATTTGACAACATCTAAGTCACTTATATTTAGGCAACACATATAAAGTCACTTACATCTGTCAGGTTATCTCCACCTAATTTTTGAAACCTCTACTAAGGGACACTCTCAGGCCTTTTAATTATTCTGTGATATTTTTTTTTGTTCTCTTCTTACTTTTTTCACTTAAATGTCAGCATGTAATCTCTCGCGGAAGAATGCATTCCTTTTAGGAAACGCATGAACAATGCATACACACACACGTATGTACACACATTCACTCACTACACATGCCATTAGGTTTTCACATTCATTTAACACAAATATCTTTGTCTTTGTCGCTTGTAACCCATTTGTTTGTAAATATATATTGGTTCTTGTTGTGTCTTTTCATTTATTTACATGAACTCACATCCCAAGTCTGTCATGTTTGTTGTGGGCATTTCAGGATACACACGTGTTTATCTCTCAACACATACACCGGCCTGCAATACATTTAAGGAACATGTATTTTATTGTTCAAAGAATAAAATTAACATATATGAATGTATAGTTTCATTTTATCTTGTTGTCCAAAGTTAAAAAAAGGCCAAATGCTTGTTTGCATCTTGATGACATTATCTGGACAGAATATATCATACACCAGCTAGATTGGACTGCAGAAGCCATTTCTCTAGGTAAGCAGTTCTCTTTTTTTCTCTGGGTTGCATTTTCGGAATGAAAATTTGCTCGCGCCTCACCAAATTTTATGTGATAAAAAGTATATTTAAAAAAAAAAAAAGTAGGGGTTAAAGGGAGATAACCCTGGATTAGCAGTCAGAACATTATGAAGGATAACTCTCTCCTCCAATTTAGTTATAAATAATTATTGTGATATTTTTGCATTATATCAAGTATTAAGAATATAGTAACTAATATTTTTAATATTCTTGATATAATGCAAAAATATTACAATGATAAAATCAGTCAATAATTATTTATAACTACTTATACTGGGACTCATGCCTGCAATTACAAGTAATCCATAATAATATTTTAAATTTAGAAATCATTTATTTTTGGCATATGAATATTTTGAAACTGTTTCTAAATCTTTGTCTTTCAATCATTCCACCTCACCTGCTACCCTCTTCTGTCACACCTATGATGTGCCACACCATTTGGGAACTGCTACTCTAGGTTTATAGATATTGCAATATAGCAACAGATGTTTCTTCGGTGACATCTTGTGTAATGGAATTTAAGAAGTACTGAAATGTATGTTTACAGTATTAGATTTGTTGTTTTTAATTTGCAGTATAGCCCTAATAGCAAAGAAGAAGTATTTCATGTAGGTAAGGGAGAGATGTAGCCTGGGGACAAGGAAGTGGCAGTTAGAAAATGTTTAGCAACTGATGTTCTATGTGAATAAGATGTCTGTGTATATTTCTGAGATGAGGTATTATGTACATTATTTACATTATTCGGACTATTGTCACCATATTTATCACAATGTTTCGGCTGTTGTACACTCCGGCCTTCTTCAGATGGTTGGAATGTAGAACTGAACCCTTTATTTTGCTCACTGGGGTAGACTGTTCTAGAGGACACATGGCACAGTGGATAAAGGCGTTGGTTAGATCCAGTGACAGGACCCAAAGAGTGTGAGTTTAATACCCGGTTAAGGGAGTGGAGAACTTTCAGAGGGAAATTAACAGGAGATAACTGATAACTGACATCCATCAAACATGGCATGTGGAACTAGAACAGTCTACCCCAGTAAGTGAAATAAAGGGTTCAGTTCGACATTCCAACCAACTGAAGAAGGTCTGAGCGTACAACAGCCGAAACGTTGTGATAAATATGGCGACAAAGATGAGGGCAATAGTCCGAATAATGTAAATAATGTGAATAAGGAGGTTCAAAATATTGAAAGAAATAGTAAATTGAAATTAGTATTTGAAAATTTGCTTTTGAAAAGAGTATTCACCTGGCATTGGTTTGTAGAACCGATAAGCCATATGAAATTTCAGTTATTGCATCTTCTGTTCTTTTTTGGCTGTTGAGGTTTTTGGCAAAACTCTGAGTTTATATAGGTTGTGAAGAGATTAGATTGTCTATTCACTGATTGGTCAAATGTGTTCATAAAGTACTTACAATATAATTCTGCTGTTGGTGTTGTTGCGGTATGAATATCTATTGAGGAGGTACCTATACGATGAAAAATGTTTTCAGTAAAACTTTACAAAATGAAAGGAAATACATGACAAGTTGAAATTTTATAAAATATTTATTCCATGAAATGAGAATAAAATAATAAAAATCTGGCTATTTAAAAAGGTACATCTGCAAAAACAACAGTATGTGAGTTCAAAAGTTTATGTTTCTAAACAACTACTTATTGACCAGCTGGAGTGAAGTGCTTCCTGTTAGGTCTGTGATGACTTGTAGTAGGTGAAGGAAAAGAGAAGTTTCTTTTTAAAACATGGCTTTTTAAAGGTATCAGTAAGCTGCAGCTGCTATTAGACTGCAAGCTTTTACTGCTATTATGTATCTCTTCTACAGTTGCCTGTGTCATGGCCTAAACTCACTACAGTGATTGAGTTGAGGCAAAACCAGGAATTCAAATGCTGATTTTGAAAGCTCTTATGCAGGACCTTCCCGGGAACACTGCCATTGTATTTTGAGGTGGGAGCAGCCTTTAAGTCAGGAAGGTTTTGAGAAAAAGGTTATTTGTTGGCATGGCCACTCAAGTGAGATATGTTTAAGCTAAGTTTAAAGTTTAAGTGGACCAGAGTCCCCAATAGTCTAGTGCCCTTGGTACTTTCTTTCAAGGACATCTCAAGTGATTAAACTAAATAAACACAATAGAAATAGCAAGATTAGTCATTTCTTTAAAATCATCATTCACTTACTGAACAGTTAGCATTACTGATGGTTGTAATTTATAAAATATTTATCTTAAAACATTTTTTTTTCTGAGAAAACAGGTTTCTCAAGTCCACTAACTCTTATCACTCTTTCTAGTATTGATGGGGGTTTCCCTTCCTAACCATTTGTTTCAGGTGTTGCAGTAAGTGTACATTGAAATCATGTTGTGGTTACCGAACTGTTTCCAGTTAAACTAAAAGCAATAATAACAATATTTTTATATGTGTAAATGACGTAAATGATGTGGTTTCTGTTATTTGGTAAAAATTTTTGTGATTCTGTATTGCAATTCTGTAAAATTGATGAAAGACAGTATTCTTCAAGATCTACAGGATTCATTCACTTGAATCCATTTTTAATCATTGATCTGAGAAAACGGTTGTATATAGTTGACAGTTTAAACATTTCTGAATGAGTTGCATGCCATGCATACCATCCATATGAGAATTTAGATCTGACAGTGCTATTTAAGAACATGATTCAACTTCATAGTTCAATGCTTTGGTTTGTAGCATCTTGCAGTAGTGAATAAAACTACTCCCAGTGCAGTCTTTTCTATATTTGTTATAACTGATCTATACACTAAGGTATTTGAAAAGTTTAATATTTACTAATTTCACATCCTGAATTTTGATGATGGATTTAGGGTAGGTGCCATCACTGTTTTTGTTCCAATTCCAGATCATTATTTCTGTTTTGAAAAAGTTTATCTTCAGTCCGACTTCTTGGAACACTTGGTAAAGAATGTTGATTTTTTTGTTGAAGATCATTCTTACCAACTATAAGTGTAAAGGCTGTTTTCTATTAGTAGATTCATTTGGAATGTGGTATGAATGTTTAAATGATTATTGTTTTGGTGGTTGCTGTTGATTGTTGCTGGCCCATTTTTTGATGGGAAAGAGTTTACTTGAGATTAAAAGGTAGAAATGGTTGAAATTAAGTGAAAGAGAAAGAGATTCCCTTCACGCAAGCCACCAATCTCCCATTGGGTGGCATGCCACTAGCACTTACTGCTGTTGGACTGCCGGCGTGTTCGTCGCGGCAATGTTATCACTTGCGGACCACCGTTGGCCCGCCAGTGGCTGCCACCAGAAGACCGCTGGCGTTGCCATCAGCAGCCCGCTAGCAGGGTACTAGCATCTTGCATGTAGAGGTGGAAGCTTTTTGGCATATTTGTAATATTGTCTCTTGTTGGGTAGAAAATAAAGTTTGGTGTGTTTTAATATGGTATGTATGTGAGTATGCAATTGTGTTGGATAGGGGTTTTCAATCCTGTACTCATGTAAAAAACTAAAAAGACATAATGAAAGAAAACTAAAGACATAATGAAAGAAAAATTATTTATTTTTTAAATTTTAATAGTACAAATTTCAGTTTTAATTTTTCTCATTTTTAATAAATCTTGAATTTTTTTTAAATAGTAATCTCTTTGGAAGGAAAACAATGTTTGTGTGGCTTAATGACTTTCCTTTTTTTTCCTACTTTATAATTTTATTTTTAGCATTTCCAATTTCTTAGAAATAAAAGTGAAAATTCCATCAAAAATATTCGGTTGTAGCTAAATCTATACAGGAAAACCGAAACGCGACACTCAACAACCAGTGTAAAAGTTTGTAAAAACAATTTCTCATTCTTTATCTTAGTCTCAGTTATAAGAATTATTCAAAGATATATTTAAAAACATATATATTTTCTCAACAAAATTATTCTTAAAGTATATTCTTCGCTTATTTTATAAATTTTATCAATTCCTGTATGAATTTTCATTTATGTTACGACGTTCTTTATTAGACAAGTTTTTAAATTAGGAGAATAAATTTATGTTTAAGAAAAAAAACTCAATAATTAATTCTAAGAACATTTTTACCCTGTATTTTTTTTATTCATGTCTAATTGTTTTGAGAAATATAATTTCAATTCCAAGTTTTACATTCAATCTTAGTTTGCTTTTTCCTCGTCCCAACATGCAATTGAAAAACAAAGATGGCCGGTGTATTTGGTGATTCTTCGCTGTTTGACGAGTTTGATAAAGAACGGCCGTCAGTGGCTACGTTTATATCCTATAACCAAAACGAAAGAGGGGAAGATGACACCAGCAAAATAGTTTTTCATTGTCCAGATTCGAATTCGGATTCTTCCGATTGGGAGCAAGAAACCGAAGAAGGACAAGTGGACACTACGGAAACGAAGGTTGGTAAAGATGAACAAGAAGAAATGGACGAAAGCGATGACGAAGCAAATGAGGATGGTAAAGGTTTTCAGAAAAAAGCTAAAAAAGGCTCTAGCACAAATGGAGAAGTTCATTTAGGTGCCTTAAAACATACAAATCATCAGCTTCAATTTGAACGTATCCTTTTTTTCCTTTTATAAAAACGGTGAGCCCACTGCTGTGAAGTGAAAAACACGTGTTGTTGATATTGATTCGTTCATTTTATTTTTCTGGTTTATAATTTGCTTTCATCAAACAAATATATTTCTTTTTAAATAGCATCCGTTGCTCTAGATTTATACAAATAAATATTACATGAAATATAACCTTTTTATGTGGCTTAAAAACATCATATTCAAATAAACAATCCGATGTTTTTTACTTATGCAATAATCCACACAACTCGTAGTCTTTTTTTTTAACTAAATTTTTTGAAATGTTATTTAATTTTCATTATTTCCGATATAACGAATACGACTTAGAATTGTCTCTGAACTTACATTTTCGTAAAATGAGTTGTGGTAAATATTCATGTTACCTTCCACCATGTTTCGCAATTTGAAAACACGCCGTTTACAAAACTTTCTATGATTAACCTTCCTTCTGTCTTACTCTTCTTTGTAAATAACTCATCTCTCTTTACATACATTTTTTTAGTGAAGTCTTTTGCAGTTATAAAGTTTTTATTTACCTGGTTTCATTGTTTTCAGATGGAGTATTTGACAATATTTGTAGTAATTAATGCCCCTCCTATTTATTTATTTATTTTTTAAACAAAATTTTGCTGTTAATAAAGTAATTATCTAAATGAGCCGGTTATTTGTAATACAAGTTTATCTTATTAGAAATTTTAAACTCTTGTTTCCAGTTATTTTTTAAAAAATTATCGAGGCAATTATTTTTACAGTACGCCTCTTGTACGAGTTTGATTTTTCTTGTGTATTTTGAAGTAAACATCCATACAAAAACATTAGGCAAGAAATTGTATGTCATGGGCAAGATCTTTCCTTTGAAACTCATCATTGTATTGGTTCATGTTTCAGTTTCATGAACATGCAATATTATACTTTGAAAGACTTGTTTCCATTCCGATCTAATAAATCATTATTATTTATAATGAAAAAAACGTTCTGAAGCAAAAAAAAAGAAAAGAGGCTGTTTGAATTTCAGAGATATACGAATATATAATTCGGTCAGAAACCTTTCTGCGTTTAAGAAATACTTTTTATAACATTTTAAAATTATTTACAGAGAAATAATTCACAAGTTTACAAATACAATAAAAAAAATGAAATTATAATATGTATGTTTAAATGGTATGAGTGTAGAAATCCTTGTTTATATTGAAGGCCTTTAAACACTGTACCGCTAAGCAGGAATCAAACTTTACCCCCCCCCCCAAAAAAAAACACTTTTTTTCTGGGATACCACATAATCTCGACGTGCATATATTATGGTGATGGGCTCTTTCGTCATCTTTGATTTATAAGGGTTCAATAGTTCAGTTCTTAACAGAACTGAATAGCTAAATTACCTGAACATATGATTTGATTATAGTGGTAAAGGCTTCTGCAGAAGAATCAAATACAGAGAACTGGTGCACATAGTGTGAAGATATTCAAATGACCCTCAGGTTTGAATTCAGTTTTCTCTTATTGATTGCTAATCAAGTCTAACTGAAAAAGTGGAAAAAACTTTCATGTGAGGCGTTTTATGCTTTAGGACTTCCATCACAAAATCTTTCCACTTATTTCATACATTTTCCCTAAAATTGTTCTTGAGATATATATAAAAATTACGTTTTCTCATAACTGAATGTATCAAACTTGACTGGAATTTGAACTCGGCTCTCCAGTTTCTTGTACTGAGTCGATATCTATCATAACACTCACACATTTGCCCCAAACTTAATAAAAACAAAGTTTATCATCAAAATCTTTGTTATTATTAAGAGTAAAAACCAAAGGATTTTTTTGATTATTAAATTATAGTTTTTGATCCTTTTTAGAATGTTCGTAATTATGGTTAAAAATTTTATTCTTCTTGCATCAGTCGGGGACCATGAATTAGTATCTTTTTTGCAATGAAAAACTTTGATTTGGAAATTCTTGCAAAAATCAAATAATTGTTGCATTTTAATGAATCTTTTAGGACTTATTCACAAATGAATGAAATTATTTTAGAAATGTTTCTTTTTTAGAATATCTTGATTAAAAACTTTTTTTTACATCTGTTACCCTACCCCACTTATTTCATTTTATGAAATTTTGAGAAATTCGTTTTTGTACGGCTTAATATTTATATTAGTTATATGCAGAAGTCTTTGGAGAATTTAAATCAGCAATTTTGTTTGTTTGTTAAACAGTACCCCAAGTTACTGAAAATCTGCCCTGAATCATAAAATAAAAAATGCAATAAAGAGATTTTCTTTAATTAGAAAAAGGTTTAATTGCTTTTATGCATAAAATATATTATGAACACTATTGTCCTTTTTTTTTTTTTTTTTTTTTTCAATGAATAATGAATTTTTACATGAATTTTTATTTTTTTTAAAATTAATAGTGCACCCCCACAAGTTAGCTAGAGCCATCACAAAAATCATTACTCTGTTCCTAGGCACCATCAGTGCAACACGCATTAAACACTAGGTGACTTACTCCCAAAAATACATAACATAAATATGACTAACTTGTCTATGGCAAGTTTAGACATCAAATCACTATGTACCAATATACACATCATGAAATGCCTTAATATATTAAGAAATCTCCTCAAGAAACCTAAGCAAAAACTTTCTCTACCCATTCAGAAAATTATAAAGATATACAAATTAATTACTTACCACTATTTCTTTTTTTTTTTTTTTTTTTTCTCAGTAACATTTTCTACAAACAAAAATTCTATTTATCCATGGGGTCACCTATCAGTGGTATTCTTGCTTTTCTCTTTCTAGAATTCTTAGAATCTGTTCAATTTAAACATATCATACCTAAGAGCTTTACTTATCTGAGATACATAGATGACATCCTCTTATTTTATCCCCAAGATCCCCAAACCTATTAAACATAATTACTAGACTCAATAAAATTGAAACCACCATCAAATTCACACATAAATTTGAAACCTATAACCTTTCCTTAACATCTTATTAATACACAACAATGATAAATTAGATTTTAATGTTTACCAAAAACCTACAAACAAAAACAACCAAATCAATTTCTATTCTCACCATAACCAGAGACTAATCAAAGGATTTTGCCTCAGAGCCCTTAGGATATACAACCCTTAATACCTGAATGAAGAATCTATTGAGAAAACATTTAAACTTCTCCACTACCCACACCATTTCATCCTCAGTGCTAACAAACTCACAAAATGCATATAGCCAAAAAAAAATAGATACTCCCAAAAATTATACAAAATTCACAATCTTGCCTGCCAACACCATTTTGACTAAACTCCCAAGCGACTTAGCCATCCCTAACACTTGGATTGTTATAACCACCTCCAAGACAATTGAGGATATAATCAGAAGAAAAAATAGACCAAACACCATTTCAAATGCTGGAATTTATCAGATAGTGTCTACATGCAAAAACATTTATGTGGCATTCTAACTCTCTTGTCTTACAATTAAACAATGTGAGACATAACTTTGATTTCGCTAATGCAAGTCTTAATTAAAAAAAGAACAATCCTTTAAGGAGAAAATATTTTGAAAATATATTTATAGCATTACTACCAACTATAATCACTTGCTTGATACATTGCATCATATCATCTTTCTACAAGTCCATTATTCATGAATCTAACTTATGTCTATCTAATAATGAAAATTTACAAATCCTTTTCAAAATATATGCATGAGAAATGCTTTAATGATAAATTCAACTAAAACATGATTATTAGAATATCTTGATGTCTCACCAACCCACACAAAGGTGACAACAACAGACATTCCTCACACTGACATAAACGAGGGTGATATCTATAGACATTCTTCACACGCACTACATGAATTATCATGACTGTCTAACATAGACCTAGACACACAAGTGTTTCTTTACATACATACTCTTACACTATCAGACAATTTAATGTTCAAAATGTTCCCCACACATATTTATATATTATCTATTGCGTTTATACATGTGGCACTTATCTGACCAATAAGAAATAACCAAAACTCTTAATATACCAGTACTCTGTCTCTCTGTTTTTTTTTATCATTTCTATCTTGATCTCTGACAAATAAAAGTAAAACATGTTAGATTTAGGTACATTTCCTACTTGTTCTTTATTTCATCATCTTGTTGGATTCCTATCCATATCTGATCTACATTTGATCTTCACTTAGAATAATTTGTAAATTTTAAAATCTTTTAAGGTTCTGTACTAATTTATACAGTTTAGGTTATATTGTTAAGTAAAAACTATATTTGATTCTTTTGAATAAGCCTTCACCACTATAATCAAATCATATGACTAGATAGTTTAGCTGTTCAGTTCTATTAAACACTGAACTGATACATTGAAGACGATGGGAGAGTCCATCATAAATGGAAGCGTTTACTACAATTCAGCGATCACCTGTATTTCGAAAAGAATTTTTTTTTTTTTTTTTTTTTGTATAAATTGACAATTTTTGTAAGTACAGATGTCCATATGCAACATTATCAGGAAATAAATGTAGTAGCTATAGTAAATTTAAGGCCAAAGTACCAAAAATTTAATAAAACATTAGATTATGAAGAATATTTTCCTAGATTTTTAAGATTACTGGGTAGTCAAAGATTATATAAAAATAAATACTAAAGTTATATTCCTTAAGCAATTTTTACAGATATATCCCCCCATAGAAAAAATTAGTTAAATTTTTGATTGTCAATGGCTGTCAATAAATATTTCAACACTTTAAATGGACAGCTATGACTTAAAAAAAATGCATTTTTACAATATTTTAAACCAAGAGTAATTTTTGTATCAAATCAGATTAATTTTAATTTAAGTCAGCTAATATATTCCTCAAATAAAGTTTCAAAAAAGTATATTTTATTTTTAAAAGATTTTTTTTATAAAGTTATCAAATGGGTTAGTTTTTTATGATTTAGCTGATTTTCTTATATATGAGAACATGGTTATTTCATATTGCATATTTAAGCAAAAATTTAAAAAATAGCTTTTAAATTTAGTTTTAAATCAATGTTTTCAGCAATAGTTTTCATTGCATGTAAATGTTTTCATTGAAAGACTAGAGAAAGGTATTCTCAAAACCATTTTAAATAGGAACAAGTTGTCTGAGAGAGGTATTAATCTTTCATTTTAACCAGTTCCCCTATCTGACAAAAAAAAATGGTCTAAATGAATCACTTTAGTTGAATTTGGATGGAGAATGACCATAGATTTAGATGCCTTTAATCCAATTGGCAATATGATGTAAAAAATCATTTTATATTTAATGCTGTTCATTGTAAATTTTGTCAACAATGGGATTACTAAGTTGTCAAACTTGAATAACCTGAAAATCATTAAGGAAACTAAGAAAAAGGACGTGAATTTCTGTGAATTATCTTGAAGGAAATTAATTAATTTTTAGTAGTGTTTTTTCTTTTTCACTGCTTATCTAAATTGATATGTTTATAAATATTTTTTTAGTATTTGTTGTCCTTAACAAATTTTAAAGGAGAAAAACTACGTAAATTTATTCGGAAAATTGATTCATCCAGGTAAATAAACTTTTGTTGCTTCTGTGATTTTTATTTCTTTGTAATTGTTAGCTGCATTTATTGTTTTAACTCATTCTCTCCTGTATGCTATGACTCTCCACAACTTCCTGTCTTTTGTTGCTTTAAGTAATTCTTGCTCCTTTACAACCCTTTTTAGCTTTGCATTCTCATAATTATCAAATAGGTTACGGTTTTCCTCTGCTTCTCTTTCATATAGGAGATTAGACATTATATTAGTTACTTATAGGTACGTTCATGAGATTGCTAAAAAAAAAGAGCATAGCATGATGAAAAAGATGCCAAACTTGCCGAAAACAAAATTTTATCATCTACATGTTTGTTATTATTAAGAGGAAAGACCAGTATTTTTTTTTAATTATTTTAAAAAAATTTTTTCTTCTTTTTAGAACATTCTAAATTTTGATTGAAAAATCCTTGTTCCTCTTTGGATCACCAGAACTAGTAAAATAACATATACAATTTTTAGCATGTTTTTTTTGTTTTTTTTGTATGACACATATTAATTTGGAAAATCTTGCAAAAATAAAAAATAATTGTCGGATGTTAATGAAACTTTCAGAAACTATTCACAGATGATGGAAATTATTATAAATGTTTTTTTTTTTTTATATATATTAAAGTCATGACAGAAATTTTTTTTTTTTATATTTAATACACCCCCCCCCACTAATTTTATGAAAACTCTAGAAATTCAGTTTAGTGGTCATATTAGTTAAAAGCACAAGGTTTCGAGGAAAGCAAATCATGTTTTTTAATTGGACCCAAACACACACCTGAATTGTAACATACAAAACTCAATAAAACAAAAATATTATTTAATTTCAAATGCTTTTATTTGGTTTTAGTTGTTTTTATGAATATGGACAATATTTTCTGAAAGCAAAAAATTTTTTCAATGAAAAATGAATTTTTAATACAATTATTTGTTATTTCTTTAATTATTTTAGATTTTTACATTTAAGTTGTTAAAATATTATAAAATTAGTTGAAAGCCACATTCACTTTTGTAAATGTCCTTATAAGATGGATAATTTTTTAGCATTTTGTAAATTGTATCGCTTCGTCCAATCAGAAAACCTGCAGTAATAATGAAATGTAATTTGTGTTCATAAAAGTCATTAAAATGGCTGTATTTAAAAAGTATGGATGGTCACAAGCAATAAAATGTCATGTGGCTTGAGTGTAAGCATTCTCCAGTGAATGTCCATTTCATTATTGCAAATTCTTCATGCGAAACGTTGAGCATTTTGAATTAGCGTTTTTACTAATTGAAAAAATTTGAACACCATCCTAAGCCATTTTCAGCAACAACATTACTACATTTTTTAAAAGTACCATTCATTTCATTTACATATTTTATTGTAATTTCAATTTTGTGAAGTTGTTTTCAGCAAGTCATCTTATTTCATTTTTATGAAATTTAATCTCGCTCTCAACAGTCTTATTTTAATTTCTTTATAATATATTTTCCATAAAGCATCGTAAACATAAAGGTGAAAGCTAAGTACAAAAAACAAAAGTGCTGAAAGTTTTCCTTAAAAATAACAAGGTAAATAATTTGTTCACTTAAATCTAAATAATTTCATTTCCCTCTTCTGTAAAATCACGTAAGCTATCAATATGTCATGAAAATGTCTTTCATCACCTGTCAAGTGATGCGAAATGTTATGACCTGCTTTGTTTTATTTTCAAATTACATCTTTTCTGTGCAGAAACTAAGTTAAGCTTCTTTCAAAATATTTTAAATAAACATTATAATTTCTAATTTTCTTGAAATAAGTTTTGAAAAAATAATTGATTTTTAAAAGAATTTCAAATTGAGATTTTCATTTTTTTTTTAAATGGAAAAAAATGGTAGACATTATTGATTATCTGTCATTTTTTTCTGGAAAAAAAAAAGATTTTTAATGAAAATTTTGGACGTGCTAGGAACGATTAAAAAATACCCCCAAATTGCTTTGATCTTTCTTCTTAATAATAACAAACATTTAGATGATAAAGTTTTGTTTTTGTCATGCTATGCTCTTTTTTAGTGACCTCATGAAGGTACCTACAGTAATAGTCTTTGTTTCTTAGTGCATTACTTGATACTGTGCTCAATTTCTGAAAAAAAAAACAAGTTTCGCTACTCCCATGGACTTTTGGATTTCTGTGTCTCACTTTGTTGTCTTTTGCTATAATATACAATTAAGCTTTCATATCTTCTTGATATTTTTTTTTTTTTCACATTCCCAATATGTAACTCCCACCTTGAGTTGTCCCTTTTTGCTCACAATTGTGCATTCTGTCCTACAGTTAATAATTAGTCCTTTCTTGCTTTCATATGTCTTCTGCCATCAAATAACATCATTACTGTGTTTTTAAAAGTAACTCTAGAGAATATTGGATGATTTACCATTTTTCAATTTTATTAGCAAAGTAACAGTGTGAGATCAATCTATACACATATAAAGTGTAGTTATCAGTCTGTATGTGTGTCTGTTCAACTAAAACTAAAAAACTACAATAATTTTATGACAAAATAAATATATATACATACTCTGTATCACCCAACCCACCTTTTTGCAAAAAAATTGTCATGATTTGTGTTTGTGAAGATATTTTAAAATTAAAAATATGTAATGATTGCATTAGAATGCATCTTTAGCCATGTAAGCATTTCGAAATTCTCAGAATTAAAAAGTAAAAATGAATGGAAAGAATTATTTCTGTTTGTTTTTACTTTTTAATTGTGCTGATAATTTCTAAACGCAACATGTACTTTTAAAATTTCTATTCTCTTGAATTTATTTCCATATCTATAGTAAATAAAAGCGTAACTCTAAAAAATGAATTAAAACAACAAAATAAATTTAAAAGAATATAAAATACAATTATTTGAAAAAAGTTTAATAGATATTTTTTTGTGGGAATTATGAGTAGCTTTAATACAATCAGATATTCCATGAACATATAAGTCATTTTTTTCGATATTTTTAATCAGCAATATGAAACCAAATAAATTATTTTAAATGAAGTAATTATTTTCTGATTTAAAGAAAAATAATTACTGGTGTTAATTAGATAAAATACATAGACAATATATTTACTTTAATAAATAGAGGAATGTCCAGTCTATAATTATTTTATTTATTTATTTATTTATTTTTTTTTTTAAATTTATACATAATTTCCTCCAACCAATATTCTTCAGAAAAAGGGAGATTTCCAATCATATGCTTGAGAAATTTAAACCTCTGAGACTTTCCAATGGCATCAGATTGATTATCAAGACAGTAAATCAACATGTTATTGATTTTCGACAGCAATGAAACCTAAGATGTAGTTATTTCTTCCAAGCAACACCAGCTATTATACCCATGTAACTCATTTAAATTTAGTATTTATATATGCAAGGGTGTACTGAAAAGTTCTGGGTTGGCCCACTTTTTTTTTTCTTTTTATAGGGCTGAGAACTTTTCACCACCCTTTTGTATGATTGATTGATTGATAATATTAGCTGTTTCCCTGCAAAGAAACATTTGGCATTCATTGACTGAGAAACTAGTACTGCTTTCAATTGAAATTTAAATCTCTTAAAAAGTTTTCAGGAAAATAGGTTTTTCAAGTTCAGTAGCTGTTATCACTCTTTCCAATATTGATGTGGGGTTTCCTTCCTAATCTTTTATTTGGAGTAGTGTATAATGTCAATATCTTGATTTGTCATTATTTTCTCTTTGAGTTAGATGTACTATCCATTTTAGCTGTTGCTGTTCCTCAAGTGATGTGGTTTTTGTGTAGATCTCTCAGATTTGTTATACATATTTAGATTAGGGAAGGATTTTGTTAATCATTGTGGAAGAGGAAATCTCTTTTCTGTTCTGCAGAAATATCCTAGTAATAATTACCATTTGTAAGACCATAATTTCTTTTTTTTATTATTGTCTAGATACAAAAAAATTGTGTGCTTTGAGAAAGCAATTTTACAATAAAAAAAATTTTCCCTGCAAAATGTTTTCTACTTTGACATTTTTTTGGGTTGTATATTTCTTTTGTTTCCTTTGGGTATAATGTGGAGCAGATTATGTTTTAAAAGTTCAAAGGGATCTTACTGTCATTCAAACAAGTTTTGAACTATTTCTCTTCAATATGAACTTCAGCTCATTCAAAGTTTTTACCAGAAAAAACTTTTCAAACTTTATTCTCTCTCTCTCTATCTATATATATATATATATATATATATATATATATATATATATATATATATATAGTCTTTTATAAGAATGTTTATCTTGTAAAGAAATTACTTAAATTGCCTTGTACAATTCATTTGTGTTAATATCTAAATGCTATTTAGAAATCGTTTACTGCATAAATATCCTTTTGTCATGGTTGATTTCCAGATGTGTACCAGATGAAGAGTCTCCTACCATCCAGATCCTTTACCAAAATAATGACTTTTCAAGGTCAGTTACTTTTGCTTCTTTTTTTTTTTTTTTTTTTTTTAAATAATTTTCAGCCACTTTTAACCTATAAGTGACTTAATTTTATTTTTCAAAATATTACATGCAAAAACTGAAGAGCAAAATTTATTTTTTAATGAAAATCTTGAAAGTCAATATATCTTTTAGATAAATAAGTATATTTTTATGCTTTTAAATATTTTTATATCCTTGTAAAATTTGAGTGACTAGATACCACTTGCTGCCTTTTGCCATTCATATATAAATAATTGTAAGCAATTTTAGTGTAACTACAATATTGTAAACTCTAAACAAACACTTTGTAACAGAGCATTTGTTTTTTTAAATTGGCAATAGATTTGTTTCTAAAATTGCTAAAAACGACCAGCTACTTGCTCATCATAAGCAGTAATTTAATTTTTAGCAGCATTTCTGATCATTTGTTGTTTATCTAAAGCCATTTAATATTTCTCTAAACTTTATTGGCTCTATTCTTGTCCTGATTTCTATTCTCATCTTTGTCTATGTTTTTAAATATTTTCTTGTTTTGTATTTTCTTTCATCATGATAGACGAATCATTTTTTCTTCCACTTTCAAGTTTCTCTCACTTTTTAGATTTTCTTTCTTCATTTACTTTTTTGCCCATCCTTTCGTTTTGGTTCATTTTATCAATATGAACATATTAGGTTATTTATATTGTGTCTTTGTACAAATATGAATTGTACATATATTGTAGATTGTAAATAGTATGCCTCTCAGTGTTATTAGAAATACTATGTTTTTTCCTAAATATGGTTATTAAAATTCTCTGCTTAAAATATATTATAAATACTTACAAATCATAAAAACCATTTTTTTTTTTTTTGATTTGTGCAACAATTTAAGTTATCCAAAATTTATTATATTTCAGTTGATGACACAATTCAAACATAATTTATTTCTTTTCATAATGTCTCATATTTTTCCATCTTTTAATTCATAATTCAGATTCAATTTAATTTCATCTAAACATTTACTGATGTTAGTGCTAATGAACAGTATTTTTATTGAATGTGTAACAAATTAGTCAAAAATGTTTTTACATTAGAGAATACTTATTCAAGATAAAAAAATTTTACTTTAAAAACCTTTTAATAAATAATTTCAGCTTTTTTTTGAAAATGTCCATTAAGTAAGTCTGCAGGAATGTTATGTTTCAAACAAGAATTCATTCATTTACACATGATCCTGTGTTAAAACAAAAGATCACACTCTTTCCAAATTAAATTGGAATCTTTGTAATATTTTTTCTCTGCAATTATATAATTTATTTTTCAAAAGTTAATTGTGCGCTTGTATGTGTGTGCAGGTGTTTACATGTAGTATGAGAATAATAATAAAATTTAAAAAAAAAAAACAATTTCATATCTTAAAATTCTACCTTGACCCATAAATGCATGAAAAAAAAGTATTGAAAACCTTTCACTAAACAGGTTGATTGTTTTTTGTTGCCAGAAAGTACAGAGCACAGATTGAGAGCTTTGTTAACAACCTCATCTCTGAACACATTAAAGATCAATCGAATGAAAAGTTGCCTGTCTTGCAATTAAAAGTAAGTGTCACTTTCATGCAGAGGAGATTTTCTCTCCTATAACAGTAAAGTCTTCCTCATTCTCAGAATGAGGCTACACTTATCATTCATTAATTTTTAATACATGTGTATTTGCCAGCAATTAAGATGCCAAAGTGTAAAAAGCCTGCACTGTCAGATTTTAATATGTAAGTTGGTGTTTTCACAATAAAATTGGTATTAACCATCTCTTGTTGGTATCATTTTCAGGATGTATTTATGATAAATATGCCATGTGAAATTTGGTTCATGATCCCTGTCTTTATTAGAAGTATTTATAATAACTTATTTGGTGATAGGAGATTTTATTATGCAATTTGAGGGCTGTTCATCACATTATTAGGACCAATAACATTGCAGATTCTTCTTTGCATTTTATCTTGAATCTCTAAATACATATCAGAAGCACCAGATCAGATGTGGCAGCAATATTCAAGGCATGAATACTTAAATATATATAGTTATTGATATTTATTTCTTAATTTCAGATATGTAAAGAATACCATGGGTCATAAGAAAAATAACCTCAAAGAGAAACAATGTTGTAAAGTTATTGAGTGATAGGAATACATTAAAAAACCTGAAAAGAAAAATGCTGAACAGAAACCATAAAACAAGAAAAAATTGAAAATATTAGCAAGATAAGAGGATTGGCTTTAAAAGTTGACATTGTGGAAAAGTTGGGTAAAGAAGTAGAAAGAAACAAATTTCTCAACAGTAAGTTTTAGTAATAAATGTAGAATCATACCCGAGGGAAGTGACAGCTAGGCTAGAGCAGTTGTTCTCGAACATTTATTTTTCATTACCATGAACTTATGTATCCTTGCCACTGATTACCCAGAGTATAAAAAATAGACCCATCTATCCTATCCAATTCTTAATGAAATAGTCACTACCCTAAATTTGCTAATGTAGTATTATCTATATATATTCTTTAAAGACCTGATAACAATTAGAAGATGGAACATTAATTAAGAATGAATTAGCAATAAAACTAATGAGAAATGTGCATATGATTTTTGGCAACTGTCAATGTGGGAATTTGTTTTTGACAGTGTAAGCCACAAGTCTGGTGCTATGTAAGAATGTTATTTGTTTTTCATATTGCCAAAAACCCTGCTTCAAAAATTGTCATCTGGAAGCAGAATGTTCAGGAGCCTTTGTGCCAGATTTTGGTACTTATCACTTTTTAATATTGAATGCATGCAATTTTTATAGCTTACTTTTCTACATTTTCTTCATACAAATAGCACACAAGATGTTGATAATAAAATTAGGGTAGTTACCTGCAGGAAATTTCTGGCTATACATAAAATGTCTTCAATTTTTAACATATCTGGGAATTGTTGGTATAGCAGTTTGGTTTTTTTATAGAAACAGTCATTCTGCATGATTAAGAAGACAGCCATGGAGAAATGGACATGATTTGGCTTAATAAGCTGAAGAATTACAAGTCTCTTCAAAGTTGTTGATGATATAAAGTTGAATGCAGAGAATTATAAGTTCTTGGACAAGAGGTTTATTGAGTACTGCAGGTCACAGTCAACAAGCTTTAAATGAAAGAATACTGCAATTTTGACTATTGCTCACTTTGCCAAAAAAGGTTTCTTATAAATATATCCTGAAAATGTTACCAACATCAGTTAATTAACAACAATTTTATTTCATTGTGTAATAAAATCTGACAGTGTAGGGGAATATTTTTTTTTTAATTCTAGATTGTCAAATGAGCTGGTAAGTGATTTTTTTTTTGTCTTATTTTCTTAAAATCTTAGATGCTGGCAAATATGGTTTATGAAAATACAAAGGTAAGGGATATGTTCTTTGTAGAAGGTTGTAAAATCATGAAGGGTTTCTTTGTTTTCTACATGAAATAAAAGGATTTGTTATATTGATTAAAAGGGAAAAATACAATAACAAAGAAATAATGGAAGCCAAGTGCAATATTGACTCACATTGTATTAAACACTTCAAAACAAATTTTTGTTCTTTACAAAGTCCAGCATGATTCCACAATCTTTTATAACGTTACTCTATAAATATACCAATGCACATGTTGATGGTGTAGTTCCTTTTCTTTAGCCACACTTACGTGAAAGTTTTGAATTGAGCATAGTTGTGACCATGAAGATATTTGGAAAACTTACCTAGTGAATGATGTAATCAGAATCACACTATTTTGATGAGAATTTGAACTGTTTAAATAGTGACTGCTGTCAATGTTTAAAAATATTCTTTTTATGTAGTGAAACATGTCTTATAGCTTGTGAGTAATCCTAAACCATGTTTTGGAATATATCAGCTCATGATTTGCTAAAGGATATAAAAATGCAATAAAGTTTCAAATATGTTTATTTCTGGAAAGATATATTCACAAACAATTGTCATGATATTTTAACTGTTTTTATTTATTTATTTATTTTTTTTTCATCTTTTTGTGTTCTCATCTGCCAGTTCAAATGATCTTCTCACAACACCCTATCACATTTTCATCTTATTTGTTTCAACATTGATGCATTCTCATTGTGTCTTAAGTATTTGTACTCTATTAGCTTCTATTTTTTTCTCCTTGCTATTTTATGTACATATGTATTACTCTCTGGGCTTATACCTGCTGCCTATCATTGTATTTGGTAAAAAGAGTGTGCTTACTCTTTGTATAAATCACCACTTGGCTGCTTTATACTTTTTGTTTAACTCTTTATAAACTTTTCTCCAAATGCACTTGGCATACTAAATTACAGATTTCATTGCCTTTAATACAATGCCTTCACCACATCTAATCAGCAATGCTGTGATTGATTTCATGATAGAAAGGAAATCTATTGTTATAAGCAGTATAGAAAAAAAAAAACAGGATAAGCAAGTCAATATTTGATGGCTGTTATTTTCATTGTCTTAATATGAATTTACTTTTGAATGAACAGGCATTTCATTGTTGAATTTGTTATAAATCAATATAATTTTTATTTTAACCTCTTAAAGCATGCCTTTTGGCTGTCCATTTCAAATTTGGGGAGACTTTGTACATTTTTCAACTAAATTAAATTCTGAAAATTGTTCATACAAAAGTTTTTAAATTAAAGCTTAAAAAAATTTTGTAAATATTAGCATTAATGAGATACAAAATGCCAGTTACTGTTTCATTTGTACAACATCCAAAATAAGTGAATAAAAAAGCAAGCTATATTATCAACATCTTTTTGAAGATTAAAATAAATAGAACTTCTATATAAATAATTTATTTGCTGTCATGTTGTCAAATTAGTCTAGGGGTTTATATTGAAGTTTCTCACTGCTTAGACAATCAGTGTGCACAATTTGCAATTTCATTGAAGCTATCTTAAAACAGAGCATGACCTTGGATTGGGGGTCTATATTTCTATCTTTGAAATTGCTGCCCTCAAGTGTACATTTTTTGGGATCAGAAAATGACTGATTATTTAAATCGTAGTTCTACTTCCACATATTTCATTATTTGCATTGTTGTATTGTTTTTAAATGTCTTTTCACAAAGTCAGTTTTTCTCATTAGTATAGCAAATTGCACATTTCATTCTCGGTAAGTTGTCAAATTTGCTGAGCTTCTGTAGTAATTATTCTTTGAATATATTGTAAAAATTTAAAAAGCAATTTATTTCCACTTGAAGTCTTCTACTTCAAGTAGAAATAAATTCTTTTAAACAACAGTACTTTTAAAACATTTAATTAAGTCATATTGTTTTTATTAAAAAATTAAGTCAGGATTTAAGTCAGCTTATAATTTTGAAGTTTAATAGTTTTTATTTATTTTTATTATATGCTCATGTACCAAATTGTGTGAACATATTTTATAGATTTCTTGTTTTCGTCAGTCAATTGTTATTTTTGGCATGGTTTTACTTTTCATGTTGACTGATAATTTGTGTTTTTATTTGATATTTTAATAACTAGCAAATTTACCAGTTGGTTAACAGGACTAACAAAATCTCATTTTCAAGATAAGACCAGCTCTCTACTATATGATTAAAAGAACTTTCAAAACCAAGGGCAAGTATTTGATTGACAATTTAAGAAAGAATAAGTCTATAAAAAAGGATCTTGTCTTGATGAGCGACTTTCACATTTCAGTTCACATGCATTAAGCTATTGCTTCGTTATAAAAGTGTAAACCAGCAATCAAATAACATGTGACTTAATAAAGAACGGCAGTACTATGTATGCGTATACGCATATATACATTTTTTTTTTTTTTTTTTTTTTTAAATAATAGTAATTCCAAAACGAAAACAATAATATTGATAACATATTATGCAATTGTAGAAATCCCATAAATTGTCCATTGGAAAATATATGTCTTACTGAATCTATTGTTTACCAATGCACCAATTCATCTACTGAAAACCCAGATGCTAAGAAATTTTATATTGGAAACATAAACAAAAAAAAAACAGAATTTGTAAGTCATTAAATGATCCATGTCCCCTGTGTCTACATGAAAAGCTACATATTATTAAGTTTCCTAAAATTAATAATCTATTAAATCAACAAAACAAAATGAACTGACTGTAATATGCAGGCACTGTACAATGTTTACATTAAAATATTGCTAATAGAATTTTTCTAAAACAAAAAAACAACCATGTTACAATTATATATCCATTATTTTATTATATATAATAGTACATATATTTAATTCCTTGATTTTAACTTTAATATTGCCATATACTGGCTTTAACTTTGACCTGTGTTTTCATTGGTCAAAGACAAACTGATAAAAATTTTGAAATCTTGTTCCTCACTCCTTAACTCTTAAATAACATTCTATTTTCAAAAGTAAATCATTTTCATCAAAAGTTACCCAATATCGCTTGAAAATGGAATAGATATAAGTTCCGAAACACAGAAATTTTCATGCCGCGATGTAAAATATTTTTCGAATAAAGATATATTATGCTCTACGTTGTATCAAGCACTAAAAAATAAATGCTAGAGAACTGTGTATTCTAAACCTGACTGTTCTTTCTCTTTATTTGGACATAACACACACACACACACATATATATATATATATATATATATATATATATATAGCATTAACAGGTAATAGTGTGAATGTGAACATAGGAATCAAAATTGCATTATAATTGTGCCTCAAGTGATCTTCAGACCAAAATAAATGAATGAAATAATAAATTTAAAATATATAAATAAAATAAGGAAACTGAAAGTCATGTTTATAAATAACCTAATTAGCCCTAAACAAAAAAACAGGGAAGGGTCAGTTTTCTGCCCCCCCCCCCACAACTTGTAATCCTCCAGCTGTGTGTGTGTGTGTGTGTGTGTGTATATATATTTATATAATGAAAATTTAATGTTTGCCAGGCTAGCAGAACAACTGCCAAAATGTGCTCAATAAGTGTTGAAGCTTAAATAAGCATGGAATAATACAACACAAAATGTACGTTAACAAAATGTATTGAAACAAAGAATAGGTACACAATATTTACAGTTAGTTTGGTATATTCTTGGGAAGACTGTTCCTGCATAATGGGTTGACTAAATCGCAGTCGGGCAGAGTCTCTGGATTCAATTTCTTAATCTCTACTATCTTCCCCGTCTTCCGGTACCAACCCATATTTATATGGTCGGTAGTCCGCTTATGTAAATTAGGTGTATCATACACAACAATAAGTAACAGTAATTATAATATTCAATAAATCAAAAGTTCAAATGACTTATCAGAGAATTCCTTACTAGGGAATTCTTTTTTGTGATATTCTGCTGGTATCTTTATTCACTAGCATGACTTAAAACAGAAGTTACCAAAATAATTCTTGATTTTTATTTAAATTTCATGATTACTTGTGTGATAGTTCCACTAGTCAGTTGATTTTGTGGGGGTTAAAATTAGAGAGCAAAGCTTTTCATTTTTCATGTTATTGTTTTATATGTATTTTTTGCTTTATTTCAGGCCTCAACATTGACATGTGTGGACTTAAATGAAGACTTAAATACAGAGCAAAGAAACCATGCCATGTGGACAAACCATGCTGTAAGTAACCTAAATTATCTTTACTTTAATATCAATTATATTTTAGTTTTGCGCAAACATTCTTTAATTCTTGGGATATGCCCTTATCTACATTGTTTCCTTGTGTCACTTTTATCTTCTCACTCAATTAGTCATAGTTAAAATGTCTGGGAAAAAGAACTAAAATCTTATTTTATCTCATTATTATTTAAATAATTTATTTATATGTTAGTATGCAATCTTATGTGATCATGTTTTTGGGTGAAGTTTATATAACCACAAATGCTAAGATGAGATTTACAAGGCTGTTTTTGAATATAAGATCCTGTCCTCTCGTGTGTGTGTGTGTGTGTGTGTGAAGGGTTGCTGAAAAGTTCCTGGTCTGAACAAACGTTTTCTTTTTTCTTTTTCTTTTCTTTTTTCTTTTTTTCTTTTTTTTTTTTTTTAATTCCTTCTTCGTCTGATTGAACTTTATGGTATCTCCTTTTATATTTATCTAGGTTCTGATGATAATATTAGTGTTTCATTTGTTCTGCCATTAAACCTAAAAATCTTTCAAACCTTGACATTATTGACTCATTTCAATTTGTGATTCTCAATCCATTTTAATTCTCTCGATCTCAGATATCCAACATGTATTGATTTGTTACCTTTCAGAATAATAGATTATTTCAAATTCTATCCAAACCAGCTTATGTTTACTTCCTTAAAACCCACTTTTCCATTGTGGAAAAATCTATCACCAGATACCATGTTGAATGTCATAATAGTTGTAGAGCAGGTAGACCATTCTTTCGTATCTGTTTTACATGCTCAGTGAGTAGCAGTAATAAGCTATTACCATCAGAGTTAATATTAATAATTATCTAAACCAACTAATGTGGTTTTGAATCTGTATATACTTTTATGTATTTGTTTTTTCAGATCATTGGTACATCTCATTACTATATCGATTTCCAAGTGGACACTACTGGTTGGCCTTTGGTAGACATGAATCCATCACTGACACATAGTTGGGACATACCCAAGTATCCTTAATTATCAGTCTATTATGGAATCATCACTTTGTATAAAAAGTAGTGAGAATTAAAGGCAATTAATAAAGTCGTCTTTTATTTCATATTCTTTGATATCTGGTTTGTTTTCCACTGTTTACAAATAAAACTCTTCTAGTTATAATTGTCAGATTGGGTCCTTTTAGCTTTGGTAGGGACAACCAGTCTAGGAGGACAGTTTGAAGAAGCAAGTGTTCCATCAGTCTCTTTTTGCCTTAAACACATCCATTGATGTAGCTGTAGTACATGTGCCCTGACAGCCCTACAGTGGGAAATGTGATAAGAAAAATATTTGACAATTCATCCATGATTTTGAAGCCTATTTGTGCCTTAAGACTTGATTGGTAGAGATTTCATATTAATGCACATATTACAAAGCCAATCTTGAGTGTTGGTAATTGTTAAGCTAGGTTTCCTTAATTCTAGTAGATATGAGCAAGTATTTTTTGATCCGATTCCTATAGAAGTAGATGAAGAAGGAGACAAACCAAAGGGTTCCAGGCCTGAGAGGTAAGCTCACATACTTTTTTCTGCAGGGAAAATAATAAAAAAATTAAAGATTATGGAAGGTAACATATACTGAATAAGATACTATAATCATATCAAAATCAGTCGGTTCCAAACACTTCATTTTAAAAATATCAGATCAATAAATTTAATGTTATTTTTTTAGAAATGTAAAGTTATTAATAACAATGAAATGACAACATGAATATAAATTTGAATATCATTTAAGGACAAGAGTTCATCACCAGACCTCAAATGGAACTTGTGTACATATATATATATGATCCAAGGAGGCATGGTGGAGGAATCAGCTGAGTTTGAATTTCAGTCAAATCCATTACATTCACTTACCTAATACCGTTGGGAAAGGTATGAATCCTCTTTTTCTCCCCACCAGCTATGGGTAAATAGCATGACAGACTGGGTTTTATAGCCTTGGTTGGCAACTGGTCTACCACAGAAAGAATGTACAACCTACTGTGGGAAAATTATGATAATTGGATATTGATATAATTCATGTTACCATTGATAGCATGGCATGCAAGTACATTGTGATATTGTCGGTTTAGTAAATGATGATTTGCTTAAAGCACATAATTCATGTTTTGCCTAATAATCTCATCCTTGTAATGTTTGATTATGTTTTATTTTTTTCATCTATTTATTTATTTATTTTTGTTTTTAACATTACATTTTAACCAATGTGTTCTCCAGCCTTTTTCAGGTCTATAATTCATCTAGTTGGAAGTGATTTCTACTATAAATAAGTTCTTTATCTGGGTGCCAGAAATTTATGCAGATCATATGGTCTGGTGCTGCAGCTATTTATCTAGATTTCCTTGATAAAATCCAAAGTAGAATCATCAATATTATTGGTCCCTGATCTGGCATATAGACTTCAGTCACTTTTTTGTTGCTGTAAGGTTGCATCCCTTTGTCTTTTCTATAAATACTTTCATGTTAATTGTTTGGGTGAGCTCTTCGTTATGATGCCTACACTCTTGGAATTTAAGCCCAGTACTAGATTGGTGACAAGGTCTCACCCATTTACAGTTGAGCTGGCCGCTAGATGTAACCAGAAATTCTATGCTTTCTTCTTTCTTGCACTTCTCACTCCATGCTTTCCAGCCAACTTTAATCTGCAAAAATTTAAATACAATGTCAATTGTTACTTACTGTCCTCCTAATTACTCTCCCTCTGTTCTTGCTCCCTAGCAGTGTTGCTGTTTCTAACTCTTCAACACCCAGTAACCCCTTGTGACTCAGTGGCTTTATTGCCTTGTTTGGGTTGAACTCATTTATAAAAAAACAAAATGTAGAACTATAGTTTGAAATAGCTTCTACTGGATGAATTCAACACTTGTGAAAGGCAGGAGAATGTCTCAGCAAACAATGATAGAATATTTAAATGGCTCCAGCATTAATGACAAAACTCATCTCTTTACCTATTACTTATAAATTATATAACTTGAAAGCAAAATTTAAAAATAAATAATTATTGCTGGCTTATGATGATGCTACTTTTGATATTCTTTTCTCATTCATTGTTTTCATTACAATTCTTCTATTTCTTTTTGTTACTTCTAGGAGAAAGCCTCAGTGTTTTAACTGTGGAGGTGATCATATGATGAATGAATGCAAAGAGAAGAAAGATTATTCTCGTATACGTATGAATCGACAAAATTTCATGCAGAATTCCCAAAGTGGTGGTGGTCCTCAGAAGTAAGCATTAGTATTTAGTAAAATGGCACTTTCACAAGGTCACTAATGACGTACCATTTACAAAAGACTTTATATAACAGCATTTTTTTTTTTTTTTTTTTTTTAACCTCAGAACAAATTCTTGTCTTCCCTCTTCATAGTGCAATTTATCCTCAAAGTTGAAATTATTATTGATAGAAAGTGGCCTTTCACTTAAGTAAAGCCTTGTTTTATTCTTACAAGAATTATTTTTTTGGTTATGAATGTCTATCAAGTAAAAAACAACCAAAACTTGAAGACTGGTAATTTATCATATAATGTTCATTATACTGATCTGGATTATTTATCTTTGTTATTAATTAATTATGATTGATACATTTTTCACTTTTCCTCAGATATATACTGTATTTAGTATCTGTCTATATTTCTGAGATGAGGTATAATGTACACTATTTACATTATTTGGACAAAAAACCTCATTGGAAAATTTGTAAACTTAAAGAAAATCAGCACATATGCTAAGCCACAAAAATCTCCTGAGCTGACAAAGCATAGAAATGAATATAATATGGGAACCAGTAATAAGGAGTGCCAGAGAGAAGTCATACCAACAACAAAAATTGCAATATGAGCTCTGGTAAAAACATAAAATGATAACAGCAAAAATTGTAATATGATTGCTGAAGACATTAGGTTTATAATTTGGCGACAAAGATGAGGACAATAGTCCGAATAATGTAAATAATGCTGTATTTAGTCTCAAATATGCTTTTTTTCAAACTGGATTGGCTCAAATAATCAGATATTGAAGTGATGTTACTTTCAGGCATTAGTTAGTATAAGTACACTTGTAACAAAGGAAATGGTTAAAGTAAGCATAACTATGTGAACTATTCTTGAGAAGAAGTCGAAGACTTTTTCTTGTTTTGCTCTTAAAAATGGCTCAGCATTTAGTAAGATGGGTGGAGAAATAATTGGTGAGTTGTCTTAGAAGATTCATGTTTTGATTGTGAAACCATGAACATTTACAGCTCAAAAGAGCAAATCTCTCCGTGTTCAAGATATAAGATAGGTGATCAGCTGTGTTTAAACAAGTTTGTTTTGTTGTATATAGAGTGGTCCAAAAGTAGGTGGACAGTAAATGATAAAATTTGTTTGAGGTTACATATACAATTATATTTACTAATACAATTATCTGAAAAAAAAAATGAGATAAATTTAGTTATAAAATTTAAAATAATATACCACAAATACCATAGTTATAATGAACACCATTGTAATGATATAATCAATATACTGACTTATTCCACCTACTGTCCACTTACTTTTGGTCCACTCTGTACATGTCCCATGCTTCAGTTCATATTGTTTTTACTTTGATTAATTTGTGTTTCAGAAATTCCCGTTACCATGCAGATACTGACCATCGATTTGCTGCCTTTAAACCAGGTACAATTAGGTAAGCATCAGTCAGTTTGCAATGTTGTAAATTTTTTCTCTTTATAAGATTTTTTTTTTTTTTTTAATATCTCTGGTCACTTAGTTGCTGGTAGGTATCTTATGAAAAATTCATCATATTTATGAAAAAAAATAATTAGGGCTAAAGAAATATAGACAAAATTATTGTGAATCCAGATTTAGACTTTTCTGGAATAACATTTCAAACATGATACAGAAGAATATAATGATTCTTATTTCTTATCAATCAAACGACCTTTTATTTTATGACATGAAAAATACTGTGATAATAAACTTAATATGACTGGGGAGGAAATTTAATTTTTTTTTTTTATATATTCCAACTACAACTTTATTTTCCAGATTGATGGATTCTCAAATGTATAGTATCTCTTTCTCGTGCTGGTCTGCCTAAATATGCATAGGATTTTTCTGTGTTTCTGTCAGTGTTATTGAGTCTCACACTGGTCAAATGTTAAGATGTTGTTTTGCTACATCTCAAAACATTCCTGTCACACACCAACACTTGTTAAAATCTATCGTGAAAACATTGACTTGCGTAATAAAATGTAACTTGTGAACATGGGATGCTAAAATGTTTCTGGATAACCTAATTTCAAAAACTAATATTCTGATTGTGTGCTAATTGAAATACTGCTTTTGAGGGGGGGGACCTTTTGGCATCTTTTTACACTGAGTGTTTTTTCTCAGTGACGATTACTTCTGAACTATTGTGCTCTTATTTTGAAAATTTCCCTATATGTCAGTGTTTCTAGATTCATTTCCAACATCATTATAGTAATGCTAAACTGTATGATGCTCTATACATTGGGACATTATTTTCAAAATATAAAAATTATAAACGTATACATTTGAACAGCTTTTGAATCGTTCTCGTGTTAAGTGTATCTTAATTGAATGAAAATACTGTACAAAATCAAGGGGACTAACTTATAAAAATGTCAAAGTTGTTGGCCTTTGAGCGTTTTTATTCTTCAACCAGTGGTTGAATAAAGTTCAAAGAAAAAAAAAACTTTATTCTTTATAGTTTGTATACTTGAAGGATGTTGTTTATTGAACCAGAAGTAAGAAAATCAAATAGTGCAAAGAATTTTTTTCAGAATTACAAAATTAATTATGTATATATTTTAAATCTTTTTATCTCATTGCTTTCTTTAATTCTAGATTTAGAATAAGTCACTTTCTAAAACTTTATCATCATTCTTGTGACTCACAATTCTTGTACTTCTAAGTTCTACAGTGCAATGTGTTCAGGAGAGTTATTGTAAACTCCTGCTTCTTTCTGTTCAATTTTAGTGACTCTCTTAGAGTAGCTTTGGGTTTGGATTCTGCTTCTGTTCCAATGTACATCTATCGTATGCGGCTCTATGGTTACCCTCCTGGATGGTTAGAAGAAGCAAAAACTAAAACTGCTTCTGGAATGACCATGTTTGACAAACATGGAAGACGTAAGTATTCATAATTCTTTAATTTTGACTTTCTGTATTTGAAAGCCATTTGCAACCTTTTTGTCACCATCCACATACTGAACATGCTTTACTTTTAGATATTGGTTCTAATTTCTTGTGTAGAGTGAGTACTGAAGAATCTTCAACTAAACTTTCTCTTTGGCTTTTTCAATCCTCAAAATATTTTTTTTTTATGACTTGGCTATACACCATTTATTTTTTTCACTCTATCAGTTTGGAATGCCATGGATAAGTCAATTATTTTTTTTTTTTTTTTAGAAGAGTAGAATCTTTACTTGTTCCTCCCAATCTTGTTGAAACTTACTGAAATGAAATATTAAATTATATAGAACATGCAAGCAGAAACCTATGTAAACAAGAACATAGACTAAAACAGCTTGTATATGTCATTTACTTTGTAAGAAATAGGCATTCTAGTTCTTATTGAAAAATTGATTTGCTCTATCCAGAAATCATTTAACCAATCAAGTGTCTAGTAAATGAGTAGTTGCTGTTTCTACTAGCATTTAGTAACCAGACTGAATAGTTTTTATCAAATGTTAACCCATCTTCCGCTACATATGACTTGAAATTGCTACTGTAAATGTATTGTTACACATTGTGTGTGCTACATTAACTTCTGTCATTTTAATTCCTGTTCTTTTTATTGTTCTCTCTCCTTAATATAGTTTTTGTTTTTTTCTCATATTCTCTTACACTTTTGTAACAACTTGCATCTTAGAGGTTTTATTGCCTTGCTTTGGGTGAAATGATAAAAAAAAAAAATGGGTTTCTGACCAGTTTTGCCTGACCTTAACCAGAGTACTCAGTATTCATATTTTTTTGGCAATGAGAATAAGATAACTTAGTCATCCCATACAAAGTTCTTGTTAAATAGCAGTTTATGAAATTATTTTTCTGTTTGGAACACATTTTATAGAAGTATTGATGCTTTTGAAGGGGAGGCATATCACATTCCATGCTTTACTAAAATCAAGAAAAATAACGGAAAATTAGGGAAGATTACTGAAAATAAAATAAATAGGGAGTGATTAACAAAAATGGCATAACAAAAAGTAGTGTGAAACTAATTAAAAATGTTTTTGTTTTCCTTCTTCATCAGAGATTAGTGTTACAGGTGAAACCCTCGAGGAAGGTGAATTGGAACCAACTGTTTCTGGAGATGGTAAGCTTATGTTTTTGATTTATCTTACTTTAAAAATACAAATAAAAATATAATGTGTTGGATAAATAATTTTCTTATTCCTACATTTGCTACAGTGTAGTGAATAGATTTTAATTGTTTATAATCAGTGTTTTCATAGTTTTTTTTTTTTTTTTTTTTTTTTTTTTTAATGAAGAATTGTATACCTTTGATAAGAGTTTGTATATTTTGAGGAAGGAATCATCACCGGTTTTGGATTATTATCATCAGCCTACAGTCTGGAGACATTAATCCTGTTAGGAACCACTGCGGATAAAAAAGTGAAGAAAAATGTAGTGACAAAACCTCAAAAATGAATTTGTGATATCTGTTGAAAAAGAAAATCACAAAAAAGATTGGGTTGCCTTTAGTAGGCTTTGAAATATGTTAATTGTTTGTACTTTCCTACAAGTCTCTACCAATCAACCAATTGTTATCCCAATAAAAGAACACCAGTTTGGATGACTGGGTGTTTTTGCTCTATGTGAGTGAAGAAGGTTGTTGTGCATTGTGAGTTTTGTATGCAGATTTTTTACCCCTATTGATTTATGCTACTGGCATTTTTTACTTTAGGCTTGCGAGACTCATTCATGACACTTTGAATTACAACCCTGAATTTTTTATTATTTTGGATCTCAATCTTCCTATTGCTATTTTCTCTTACAAAAACTTAAAAAAGACAAATGTGAGTTTGAAATAGTAACCATTTTAACTTGTTTTAACAGTTTGCCTATAGTTTAAGCTGTAAAATAATTAACATCTCTTACATTATACTCCCATCAAAAGCCAATTGCAAAAAGAATATATAAAGAAAAAAGGAATAGAATTTTGATTCTACTATTTTAAAATCCAACCTCTTAAACCTTCAAGTGATGTCCATAACTTACATGCTTACTAGGTTGCAACAAATACATTTAAGTATATGATCTACAAATATTTTACTCAATCTTGTCACACTGCCAATCTCTGGTTCTCAAATTAAGACAATAGAATTTGTTCATGGGTGTTCTTTTATTATTATTATTATTATTTTTTTTTTTTTTTTAAACTTTTCTTTTTTTATTGTCTACAGCTGAAATTGATCCTTCTCTCATTATTGAATATCCTGGATTTACTGTACCATTGCCTCAAGAAGCATATGATGTAAGTTGTTTTTTTTTTTTTTTTTTTTTTTTTTCTATGATTCAGATATGCAGCTTCATTAAAGATAAAAAATAATCTTGTTTTCTCTGCAGTTAATAAAATAAATGATATACTTTTTCAATACAAAATTTGATGATTGAATGCTAGGATACAGGGTGCGATGGGTAAATTGTCGCCATTTTATATTTTTAATTTTGCATATACATGTTTTGTTTTTGATTTTGTCAATTGCACAGTATAGTAGGGTCAGTTGGGTATTGCCTGTGAGAAAAAGAGCATCATGATGTAATTCACTCTACCAGAAATTTGGAAACCGCATGCTGTATTGCTTAGCATTTGCACTGAAAGCTCCAATATGAACATTTCAGAATGTTTGGGTGTCAATCTGAGGACAGTGCAGAGGATTAAAAGAGTTGGATGAGTAATGGTGATTACAAAGATATGGCAACCTGGATAACTCACTTTGATCATTCTGATAAGAAAAGAACTTCCGAATTTGTTGATGAGGGCCTAAGACTTGACACTGAAATCTATGTCAGTTGTCTTGAGGAGGTAGTGCTGCCCTAGTTCAAGAGGGTGGTTACTGGAAGACCCTATGTCTGGCAACAGGCCTCTGCACCATGCCACACAATTAGAACCCAGTCATCATTGTCAGACAATTTCTGTGGCCACATCACCCCTTACAACAGGCCACTTAATTCCCCAGACTGCAACCCTCTTGATTATCTGTGCAGTTGAGTAAAAGTCCAACAAAACTCCTTGGAACACCAAAGATGAACTGAAGGCAAGGATTATAGCAGTGTTCAACAACTTAAACATGGAGATCATCCAGAAGAGTTGCAGGAGATTCTGGAGGCCATGGTTGAAGCCAATGGCAATTTTGTTGAATAAATTTACTCTATAATATTTCAAGATATTTTTGTATAATTTTAGTAAATATATCTGTTAAAACGAGGTGTCAGTATTATTTTCATTTTTGCATAATTTAGATGCCAATATATGCATCACACTCTTTATATCTCACTCCTTGTCTCGTATTCAGATGCAATTCATTGTTTCTAATATACTGATGGTCTAAAATCTATGAAAATAGGTTTCTGATGCCTTTCTGGATTCTAGAATTGTTCTCGAATCAAAGAAGAATTAAAAGTTGTTAAGCATATTATTAGATCTGCAGAAGATCAAAACCCTATTGTTCACTCTGGTTTCTAATTAGCATGCTGAAGCTCCTTGTTTAATATAACAAAGAATATTCTCTCTTTGTTAATGTTCTGTTATATATGAATAAAATGTTGCTGCCAACACTGGAGCTTGAACACAGATCACCAAAGAGCAAACACAGGTGATCCCATTTTGAATAAGTAGATCACATGATGGTAAAGGAAGGAAATGTATGTATGTATGGGAATTAGTGTGGCATCAAAGTGATTACTATTTGGATCACTATTTGGTGGTTACTTTTTCAAGTGAGTATTATCAAGCAAATACTATTAGTGTGAGTGTTATTCAAAGGCATCTGACACCAGCATTGTTCAACAGCATTACTATAGTTGTATGTTCAATTAAAAAGTCTCTACTACAATGAGTATTATGAAAGTGATGAGTATTCATTGACATTACAAAAGTGGCAACAAGTGTTCGTTAACATCGCAAAAATGGCGACACAGATTCCTTGAACTTACACGAGAATTCCTTCAATTTACGTGAGGAAAAATTAATCTGCAAAATATTCAGCAGAGTACAGCAGAATGGGAGAATTAAAAGCTATCATGGTTCAAATGTTGCAGCAACAAAAATATGAACAACAATTACATCTACAACAACAGAAGTTTTTTGTGTTCGTTTACCAAAATGATGGATGGAAAAACTTCAGATTCATTCACTCCAGATGCTGCTGTTAATTCAATCAATGAATTTGTGTACAATCCAGAGACAACTCTTCCAGCTTACTATAGAAGATACAAAGGGATCTTCAAAAGGAATTGTTTGCATTGGAATGAGGAAAAGAAAGTTTGGTTATTATTAAGGAAATTGTCCCCTACCGAACATGAAAAATATGTCCTTTATATTTTGTCAAAAAAAAAAAAAAAAAATCCAGGAGAGAAATTTTGATGAGACTGTTCTAATACTATGAAAAATTTTTGGTAATAGAAGTTTATTTAATATACAATGGCAATGTCTTAGTAAAATCTGATGAAGATTTTGTCACTTATACAGGAGTCATGAATCGAGAATGTGAAGTTCAAGTTAAATGAATTAACTCCTGATTTATTTAAATGCCTGGTATTTGTTTAACTTCTAACTGATAAGATCCAGGATACTTGCTAAATTAGAAATGGATCCCAAACTAACTCTCCAGAAAATAGTGGAAGAGTGTCAACATATTGTGAATTTAAAACTATGCCACAAGGATTGAGGAAAAAGACAATTCACAGATACATATTGTCCAACTATTTGAGAGAAAAAACTACAAATGTTTTTCAACTCTTAACAGAACAGTAAAAAAAAAAAAAAAAAACTTGTCTAGACTAATACCAAGATTCTGCAAACCACTTGAAGACACAGTAACTGTGGCATTATCGATGAAAATGAAATTAATAACATATTATACAATACTGTAAAAGAACTGCCCACAACATTGAAGGAAATAAAAATTAAGGTGGCAAAAGATAACTTTATAATGAAAATGAAGGTGAAATTAAAATATTATTGGAAATAATGCATTTTCGTCATGTAATGACATACTTATGTACACAGTGGTGATACCAGCATCATTGCAAAGACGTATGTTAAAAGAATTTCACAGAGGACATCCAGGAATTTCTAGAATGAAATCCTTAATGAGGTGTTATACTTACTGGCCAAAAATGGATAAGGATATTGAAAATTTAGTGAAATCATGCAGAGGTTGTGCTTTGGCAGCAAAGTCACCACCTATCAAAATTCAACTTTGGCGGAAAACCGATATGTCATGGTCTGGAATACATATAGATTTCACAGGACTGTTAAATAGGCATACTATCTAGTGGTAGTCGATAGTTACACTAATTGGCCAGAAATATTAAAATGAAGAAGCCAACTTCTGCAGTAACAATAAATTTCCTACACAAGATTTTTGCAAAGTTCGGTGTTCCTGACTCTAGCGTTTCTGATAACGGGACTCAATTCACATCTAGTGAATTTTTTTTTTTTTTTTCCTTATCACCCAAGATCAAGCAGGACAATTTGTTGATACATTTAAAAGAGCACTAAAAATGTCAGAAGGAGAGGAGTCGAATGAAGAAATGATGCAATATTTTCTGAGTGTTTATAGAATAACACCAAATCTGAACACTGCGTCTGGAATGTTGCCTGCAGAGTTGATGTTCGCCAGGAAGATTAAGTCCGTTTTCAGTAAGTTATTACCAGAATGCAAGGCGAGAACATCAACAAATACCAATACAAGTAGATACTTCAAAGCTGGACATAAGGTATCTTTTATGACATATCAGCATGGAAAGGAATCCTGGGAAGATGGCATTATGAAAAAAATGGATTGGCAAAATGACATACATGGTACAGGGACAAAGGTAGAAACCTAAGCAACACCTTCAGTTAAAACATAAATTCACAGATGTATAAAGTACCCGAAAAGAAGTACCAATGGAAATTCTGTATGACACGTTTAACATACCTACGCCATCAGAAATTGCTGAACCAAGGGTTTATGGGTAAAGAAAAAGGATGTCAACAGAATTTCTAACTATTGAACCAAAGCTGAAGTAGTATAGACTCCAAGGAGAAGTCATCTCAAAGGGAACGTGTTATATAGGAATAAAGTTTGGAGTTTGAACATGGATCACCAGAGAGCAAACACAGGCGATCCCATTTTGAATAAGTAGATAGCATGATGGTAAAGGAAATGTATATATTGGAATTAGCATGACGACTAAGTGATCACTATATGGATTACTATTCGGATCACTAATCGGTGATTACTTAAAGTAATCACCGATTAGTGAATATTATTGAGCAAGAATTATTAGTGTGAGTTTTATTTGAAGGCGTTGACACTAGTATTGTTCAACAGCATTACTATAGTTGTATCTGCAATTACAAAGTCTCTACTACAACAAGCATGACAAAAGTGACAATGAGTATTCATTGACATTGCAAAAGTGAAGCCGTTGACACTAGTATTGTTCAACAGCATTACTATAGTTGCCCCTCTACAGAAAAAGTGACAATGGTATTCATTGACATTGCAAAAAGTGACGCTGGTATTCTGGCCCCACATTGTTACACAAAAATGTTCTTATCATCAATTATTTCCTATTTGTGTGAATTGCTCTCTGTATTTAATATCTATTTTTAAAGAACCTGTAAGCAAGCATTTACTTGGAGTGCAGTTAACTAGAGTTTGAACTTAAGTAGCCAACACCCAATATTTGATTTGGAAAATAGTATGAAGTAAAGTTCATTTGCACATCTGTAGATGTTGAAAATCTGGGATTCAAGTTGATATAAAAAAAAAAAATTGATTAATGGCATAAAATAGTGAAAGAATATGCAAATTGCAACAATTGAGAAACATGCAAATAATATTTTTGTTTGCTTAATGCATTTGTATGATTGCAGGCATTGTTAGTTCCTTTATTTTCTATTTAGAAATGTTCCCTAAGTTTTTACTTTTTTTTTTTTCTTGATTTTAGGAACACATGGAATATGATATGCCTCCCCTTCAAACACATCAGTTGAAAGATACATTAGTCTCATATCAAGTATGTTTTATTTCCTTTTCTGCTATTTTATTTTTGTATTACATTAATATTCTTAATGCTTTGGTAAAATGTCTGTGCCAATTTCTCATCACATTTTATAGATTTAACAAAAAAATAAAGCTTTAATCATATTCCTTAATTTTAGTTATTTTTAAAAAAAAATTTTTTTACTGTAAACATTGTAATTTAAATAGCAAATATTCTTAATTAGAATATTACATTTTGAGAAGTTAAATTCATATTTTTCAATTCATTTCCCAGATATTTTTCTCTTTTCTGCTAAACTAAAATTTTATTTTTCAATATATCTAAAAATCTTTAATACATACTTAGAGATCTTGTTAAATCATAACAAATGGTACCAAATGTATTTTGGTAGTTCAATTAGCAACAAAGTTATGATTATTAAAAAGTCAAATCTTTGTCTCCTGTGATATTGGACAAAACGCCAATTTTAACTATGTATTACTGAAGATGCAGGCTTCAAACAAGTTAAAAATTATAAATATAATGTCATATAGGTAGACTTGAAGTAAAAGCGTGATAATGTTAATGGAATCAATACTTCTTAGATCAGACCTGCCTAAACATTGCGAAAATTGTTCTCAAAAACAGAATTGTAAAATTGTTACATAAGGGAAAACTTGACTGATATATGAGTTTCATTTCAACACTTTAAAATGCCTTGCAATTTCTTCCTAAACTTCATGGCACAACAGAGATGAAGCTTTTTTTTTTTTTTTACCTCCCATAAACAGCCTATGTTTATATCACATAAAAACAATCAGAGGCACAATTTGGCAGTCAGGCAAAAACAAGTGAAAAGTATACCATACTGAACTTGCGATAAAAATGTATTTAATGAAGATACATGCCTGAAATGTTACTAATTTTGGGATGAGGACTTTTCACTGTAATATCAATACTTTTTGTAATAAAATTTTGTGTAATTGTAATTTTTGACTTGTCAAAAACAGGACAGTAATGACTATAAAACTTAGAAATTTATTTTACAAGTAGAAAACAATTTAAACTGATAAAAAAACCTCTCTGGATATCGTGAATGGTTCTCCTATACTTCCTCTCCTAATGGTGATTTGCTGACTTAATTTCTTTATAAGCCTCTGATATAGCTAATATTTCTGGAACACTCCATATCCAGTCATCACTTGAAACTGGTATTACATCAAAGTCTGAAGACAAATGTTGATTCCACTTGTACAATATTAATGACTTGGCTAATGTAAAAGTAATATAATATACTACAGCCCGTTGGCTTTGGCACATGTAACTGAAGGTCACCTTAGATGGTGATTCTTCATCACAAATGCTAGAGTTGTTTAAATACTCAATCACTGAGTGTGTTCTTTCCTTTGTTATAGAGGTGGAAATGAATCAACTGATTTTCCTGTTGTCAAGTAGATACAAAGAGCAGCTGCCTACTGAAATATACTTCCACTGACTTTACTCTTGATACCAAATAGAACTTCTAAGTTAATCTGAAAGATCAACTTTGAAGTTCTCTTAGGTATGCTTCCAAATAACTGCTTGTTTTATATCTTTAATAGACTTCACAGGACAACCATACTTGATAACAGAGTTAATGTTTCTCTGTTTCGCATCAGCAGTGACTTGATACTCTTTTTCCTTTTGCCTCTCATTTTTAGTAATCCTTTCTTCTACATGAAGTTTCACTACTTCTTGTTGCTTGTCTTTGTTAGATATTTCACATGCTTTCTTGAAATGCAGAGATTTGACTGTCACTCAGTTTCTGATTTCGCTTCCAGCCAAGCTGTAGACTGGTTGCCCCTGGGCATGTTTGAGGTTGATCGATGGTGAAATGATGTATACTGTCTTTTTTTTTTTTTTTTTTTTCCCCCTTTGTCAGTTGCACTTTCAAACTGAAAGTTCATCATGAACCTTACTAAAAAATAATTTAATAAAACTAAAAATGGTATTTTCATTGAGAGTTGGTATTTGCATAATTTAAAAGATTTTCTTTCACATTTGACACAAAAAAGTCTACATTATTTTTTTAAAAATATACTTGTAATTTTTCATTGCAGTTCTGAAATTCCTCCAGTAAAGGATTTTTATGTTAAATGAAGATCTGTTAAATGAATTGAAAAATGCAAAGTTTAATATCACTTTCAAATGTTAACATTAGAAGTCTAATGTGGTTATGACAGTTCAGTTTACTGTGTCTAAATAAATGTTATTTTCATTGTTTTAAGTATTATTTTTACAATGTCCAGTCAATTATTCCTTCTTCTTTTCTTTTCTTTTCTTTTTTTTTTTTTTTTTTAAATTACTTTGAACCAAAAAACAAATACTGGATTTTTAAGGGATTTTAAAATATATTTTCATGTGTTGTTAAGAATGGAGATTTGCTGAGTGATCATGGCAATGTTTTACAAATGTCATAAAAGTTTAAAACCTTATTTAAATAGGTAAAATTGTTTTATTTTTTACAAAATAGCTTTATCTTTTAAATAAAAACAAAATTTAACTTCAAAGGAGACATTTAAATTATTCAAAATGCATTTTAAAGTTTTCCTCAGTTCATAGTGATACTGTAAATGACCATTAAAATTTGTATTTTAATTTTTTATGGACAAATGAGAATGAGCAAAATTTAAAGAACTATCCAGTTTATTTTATCATTTCAGATAGTTATTCTTTATATATATATATATATATATATATATATATATATATGTGTGTGTGTGAACAGTAATTCCAGCTGGCAGTTTGGATAAAATAAAATAGTTTTTTGTTTAAACTGTCAGTTTGAATTTATTTTATAGAGTTTTAAAATGCATCATTAAAGAAAATATTAGAAAAAGATTAAAATTGTAATATCCATTGATGAAACAAGTCTGATTTAAAATCGGGTCCAGCTGGCAATGTTCATTCACTCAGCAATATAAATTTCAATGTGACAGACCTGATTGTTTTGCACAAAATGAACGTAATGTATTTTTCTAATGTAGTCTGGATCATTAAGACAATGTGAACAATCCTTTCCTTAGCTGCATAGTATGTGTATGCTTCATCAAGGCTACAGGTGGTGTAAATTTCATCTTAAGTGTTGAGTTTTTCCAGTAGGAAAAAAATTTTCAACTTAGAAATTTTTTGTGAAAAACTTCATGCTTTATGGCTCACCCACCAAATTAACAAATATCCTTTTTTTTTTTTTTTTTTCTTTAAGATGGGACTATTTTCATATGTGTAGGTAGCACAACCTATTTGAAAAATACCACTATGACATTGTCAACTTTGAAAATATAGAAAATCACTGTCATTGAAATAGTGTTATAATTTAAAGAGATGTAGAATAAAAACTAATCATCACACATGAGAAAGAATTGTCGCTTTAGAAAGAGAAAAGATTAAATTTTGTTTACAAACTAATTTTATCAAAATAGCTCAAAAATAGAGATATCAGCAGTTGAAATGGAAGGAAATTTCGCTACTTTGACACCTGTTCACATGGTAAACTAGCGCCATTTGGGATACCTACTCTAAGGTTGCTTAGGGTAGAGCCAAAAACTTATATGTATAATTTAAAATGCTTTAATTTATCATGCATTTTGTTTTACTTTCTTGCAGTCATCTACAAAGCGCAAAGGAGAAAGCTATAAAAATGAAAATGCCAAGAAATCTCGACATTACGAAACAGGTAGTGAAATGGATTTAGATGATGACAATGAAGGTTAGAATTTTTACTTTCTAATTTAGTTTGCTTTTTTTTTTCTTTCCTCCTTTTCTTATTATACTGCTTTTGACAACCATGATAAGAAAAGAATCGGTAAAAGAATGAATTTCAACCGGAAGAGCCAGTCTTTGGCCATCTTGCTTATATAAACTCCAGTTCACTAATTTTGTGGAAGAGAAAATGGTCTCTTGGACAAAATCCAGCACAATTGTAAACGATTTGCTGTTCAGGTTCAAGTTTCTCTAATCCTCATTGGGGACCTTATTTTGCTCTATTTTTACTTGTTAAATTGTTTTAGTTAAAATGTCTTCACTTCATTCTAAAGTTTGTGCATTTACTTCAAATAAAATTCTCTTAAGTTTTTAGTCACATGTTTTTTTTTTTTTTTTTATGTCACTCAGTTAAGGTCTTTGTTTATTTTAGGAAGTTTTCCTGATTACTATGACCTGGCTAATCCTAAGATAGAAGACACAAGCTGTTTCATTCCACCTCTGCCATCTGACACTCCTCCATCCCGGCCACCTCTGCCAAATGAGACTCCTCCCTCATCTGGTTCTGACTTCAAGTTTTCTCCTAAGAACCCGATGCCAGAGCCTGCCCGACGGAGGACTCCATTGTGTTTGCCACAACCCAAGTCAGATGCCTACTTCAGTTCCGATTCTCTTGAGGACCTTGAGGCTCAGTACAGGTCACTTCAGAAACAGTTGCAAGATGAAGACTCAGACAGTGAGCCCAGCTCTGATAGTCAAGTGAAAGCAGCTGAACCAAACCCAGCTGAATTAGTCAACCCTGTTGTTTTGTCAAGTGATGAGAGCAGTCATGCCCCTTCAGATACAGGTTCATCATCTTCAGCCTACACCTCTTTATGCCAGTCTGTTGGCAGAGACTATGGCACACCAGTGCTGCACAACAAAGGAAGTTTCACTGCTTTACCAGAAAGGGCCAATTTCTCTGTTGGCATTCAAGACCACATACCATTTGAAAACTTACCTCAGTCAACAGGCACCTATGACCGTATGAGGAAGCTGTTCATTAAAATTAAGCAAACTCTCTCTGCAAATAACAGCAAAACAAAAAAATCTTGATAAAATTCACTCTTCATTTTTTTAAAAAAAAAAAAAAATTTCTCCATAAAAAAATTTCCATTATTTTTTTTCTTTTTCCATTTTAGTTTTTTTTAATCTATTTTTATTCTTATTTCTCTCTCTTTATCATTTTTCTCCCTCTTGAGTTCTTTATCCCCGCCCGCCAGTTTCTTTATATTTTAGAAGCATTCATCTTGTTAAAGTCCTTTCTTTTCTCTCACATCAAAAACACACAAACGTCTATATTTTTATGCTCTTCTCTTCATAGACATGTAAAACAGACGAAAATAGACTGAACAGAATTTCCAAATGTTCACTCACACATACACACGCTCTATCTATAAAGGTGTGTGTATGTATGTATGTATGTATATAATATATATGCACACACATACACACCTTTTTTATGTCAGTCATTTCATTTTATTCCTTTTTTTTTAACTTTTCTCCCTGATATTATTTTTAATTAACAAAAAAAAAAAAGATTAATTTGTCAGGGTTAAACATTGTCATACTGTAAAGTTGGAGATTTTTATTATAATTGCTTATAACATTCTTAAACATTTTGGATGTTGATAAAACAAATTTTAGATAATTACTTTGAGAGTTAAGATAAAAACAAATGAATTATTTAAAATGATAATTATTATTTAAAAAAAAAAAAAGAAAAATAAGTAATGTTGGTTCAATTTCTGATTTTTAGTTTCTAAAAAAAATTTAGAACTTTGACCTTATTTTGTCTTTTCTCCATCAAATGTTATGAGAATGTTGTTCTAAATTATAAGAAACATTTTGTAAAAAGAAACATTTGAAAAATGAATCCTAAATTTGTATGAATGTGTGATTGTACATAGGTCATAATCCTGTATATATAATTATGACTGGGAGTTATCCTCATTTCACTGATTTTTTTTTTTTTTTTTTTTTTTTCCTTAAAATTTGAAAAAGAAATTGCTCATTCAGAAAAAAGAAAAAAATTGAAACAATTCCATTCATTTCACAACTGAGTTATTTTATTCTTTTGTTAGTGTTTGTATTTGCAACTGTAGCTCAAATAACTTGGAATTTGAAAAGGAAACAAAACACTTAGTTGCTCTGAAATGACTGTTATTTTCACTCTTTTAAAATTCTGTCTTTTAAAACCTGAAAATTTAATTTTCATAAATCTTTGCATTGTAGCTTTTTTTGTTTTCTCTGCTTTTAGAAGTTTGAGAAAAATTTGTGTTTTGGTTTGTAATCAATTGAATAATTTTGCACCTTTCATATTTGGCCAATGGAAAAACAATGTCAAATGATAAAGCTATACACATTTTGCTTAAGAATATTTGTATTGCAACATGCTTTCTATTTATGTGCCAAAAATTGATTCTTTTCTCTTAGAGAGAAAGCAAAACATAACAGTTCACATGATACAAGTGGTGTGCCGAAGACTTCGTGACCTGACACACTTAAGCGAAGGTCCAAACAGAATTTTGGTCAGGAGTGGGGACAATCCCTTTTTGGTTGAACCAAGAACTTTTTAGCATTCTCTTCATGCTATTTTAGAGAATGTTTTTTTTTATCTGTGGGACATGATAATTTCTATCATTGCAGTTGTACGGCTTTAACTATAAATGACATAAATGGTTAATAGATTAAATTTCTTTCTGTTTGTTGATAGACAAATTGGAGAATAACTATGCTGGCAAAGCTTAAATCTATGCTATTTTAGTTTTAAATTTTTATGGGGAGTAATATTTGGCATCTGTCTATATTTCTGAGATGAAGTATTATGTACACTATTTACATTATCCGGACTATTGTCCTCATTTTTGTTACCATATTTATCACAACATTTCAGCTGTTGTACACTCCGGCCTTCTTCAGGTGGTTGGAATGTGGAACTGAACCCTTTATTTTCCTTTGTGGAAATAATCAAAGATGCTCCTATCCTATCCAATTGGATGGTGAGCTTGGACGTGGTGAGTATGTTCACCAAGGTACCCATGGAGGAGGCACTCTCAGTAGTCAGAGAGATTGGCCTCTAACTCATCTCCAGTATTCCAATAGATAATCTGATGGAGATGTTGACTTTTCTGTACACAAACAACACACTTCGGAATGGGATCACACATATGTCGACAGAATGAGGGCTTAGCAATGGGCTCACCATTATCACCAGCAATGGCTAATATATACATGGATCACTTTGAGGAAATGGCATTAGAATCTATATCACTAAGGCCAACTCTATGGTTAAGGTACATAGATGACACCTTTATACTCTGGCCACACCAGGAAGATGTCCAGGTTCTACTGGACCATGTGAACTCAATAAGACCTTTGATACAATTCACAATGGACAAAAGAGAGTAACAACACACTCCCATTCCTGAATGTTCTAATATCTCAAACAGAGCATGGGTTCAAGACATTAGTATACTGCAAACCAAGATTCGCCGGACAGTACCTCAATTTCAACTCCCACCATCCATACAGTGTAAAAAAAAAAAGGGATAATCCGCTGCTTACAACACTGAGCAAAAGTCATAAGTGGCAACCCAGAGACATTAGATAAAGAATTAAGTCGGTATAAGTAGTACCTTACAATATAACAACTACTCTGGGTACATGGCAGCGGCCCTAAAAAAGTGGGATAGGCGGGTACAAGAGGAGGACAACAACACTCAGAAGAAAACAGTCTGCCTGCCTTATGTGAAGGGGTTATCAGAGAAAATACAAAAGATCTGTGATCCATATAACATCAGGACAACCTTCAAAAGCTGGACGACACTTCACAGATACCTCTCCCAATGGTAGCTGAAGACATTAAGTTTATAAGTCCCAGAAATTCAAAGACAGATGTCCTTATGGGCACATGGCACAGTAGATAAAGGTGTTGGTTAGATTCAAGGTTGTGAGTTCAATACCTGGTTAAGGCAGTGGAGAACTTGGAGAGTGAATTAACAGGAGATAACTGACATCCATTAGACATGGCACATGAAACTACCCCAGCGAGCAAAATAGGGTTTCAGTTTGACATTCCAACCACCTAAAGAAGACCAGAGTGTACAACAGCTGAAACATTGTGATAAATATGGCAACAAAGATGAGGACTATAGTCCAAATAATGTAAATAGTGTAATGTTTGGCAGTAGTGTTTTTATTTTGTATTTGTATTCTACTATATCAAAAAGTCAAATGTTATAAAATTCCCTTTTTGATCAGGTATCTGTTGTTTTATGGATTGACTTACCTACTCTTGGAGTGAGTTATATTTCCTTAGTTTTCTTAGCACCTCAATATGGAAGGGCCTTAATATAAATGTACAATGTTTCCAGAAGGAGGCACTTTTCTACCAAAGCATACATTTTGAGTGTTATAAAATTGAAGATGTCTAGAATTTGTGATTTCAGGGTCACCAGCAGAATGTCATTATTTAGTTCTATAACAGTGGAACAGCTTGAGGGAAGTATGCATGAAGAAATACTGAAAAGTTCTAAGCCTAATGAAAGGATTTAAAAAAAGAAAAATTGGTCATATTTTGGGAAGTAGGTTGGCTGAGAACTTTTCAGTATATGCACAGAGCAATTTATATTTGTGTCAGTGAAGTGAAAGATGATAGTAATGAGAAATATGTCTATAGTTGTTGGTCAAAAATTCAAGATATAGAAGATAATAGTGAGAAAACATTTGACAAGCTTTGGTTAGAGTCCTTTTAAAAATAAGGAGTGTCCAAGATGAAATTCAATAGTTTGGAAGGGGTGGATGGGAGATACAGAAAGATGGAATAAATAACATTGACTGTTGTTTGGATCAAGGCAAGGAGATGAAGATAGTGCTGTATACAACTGGTGTGTCCCATTCATTGTTTGTGTAGGTTGAATTGTTTGTGACTAATCATGTGATGGGGATTGACACAAGTTTAGTGATGAAATTGGAAAGATTTTCAATAGAGCTTGGTGAGATTGAAAACATTTTCAGAGGACTTGAAACCATATGGCTGATATTGAGAAGTGGGTCATCTGCCATTTTTGGACAGAAAATTTTGAGAGCTATGTTTCCTTTCGAGTAAAACTGAAGTTCTGTTGAAATTGAAATTACTGAGTTTAATTCAGTGTTTAATGATGTGCTATGCTGTCTAAAAGATTCCAGTCAAGTTGCTTGTTGATAAGATAGCAATGCCACAATCTAGAGCTTGTTCAATGCCTTCTCTAGTAAATGATGCAACTGAGAAGGAACTTGGAGAGACAAGGTACCATTTTAAAAAGAAAGTCAATCTTTGGTCTGCACCTGTTGTACTGGTTCTTAAAGGCCAATTTGGAACTTTTTGTGAAAGCTAAACAAGTCATTAACATACTTGAACTTATTCTGTTTATTTGAACTATTGTTTTCCTCTAAGCTATTATAGATGTTGTCTGTAATAAAATCCATAATGATCAAATGAAAACAATTGTTCAAATAAGCCAAGGTATATTGACAATTTCTCATCTCAAAAAATCAAAACTAAAACCATAAACAGGGTTGTAACCTTTATACAATAACAGGGACCTTTGCTGCTTTAAAAGAGGGGGAGAAATTTATTAAGTCTGAAAAAAGAAAAAACATGTGCATCTGCTGAAGCTTACAGTGTCTGAAGTTTCTTGAACACCTGAAGTACTACCTACTGGTTCTTTACCATTTCTTCCAATATGTTAAAAGTACCTGCTGTTTCTGAAATTCACATATCAAGTTGCAGGCATCAATCACCCCCTTTTGCTTTTGGTGACTGTCTGGGAACGATTAAGTATTGATTGGAGGTGTTTTATGGATTGATTTGGTATCTGGTAATTACTTCAGTTTTCTTTGAACACTGCCAGGTTCGTGGCACTGCATGAGAATGTACATCCTCCCATATTTCCAGGATGTACTTTTCTACCTTGGCAGTCATTTCTCTGATGTTACATTTTGGCTTCATATAATGTGTCAAGAAAATAAATCAAATTTTTAATTATGGAATGCAAGGATGTTTGCAAAGACTT